TCTGGTAGCTGACTGGTGGCGTAAACAGAGTCTGTCCTGGGTCCTTCCACAAATGGAAAATTGCAACCTGGATATGAACTACTTCTGCTTGTCACTATTAATTCTTCTGTCCTCCTTTCTCTCTAGCACCAGCCCTGGCTCCACAGAACATCCAAGTAAACTCCCTTTCTGCAAGCCAGCTGGAGCTCACCTGGGACCCGCCTCCTGCCGACAGCCAGAATGGGAACATCCAAGGCTACAAGGCAATCCTCCTCTTTCTACTGGTTTCATTTATCTCACTTGGCATTGATATTACTTGTGAGATAGCTCTACAAACTACAGTTGCCCTCCTTGCATAAGAAAAATTAAATCAGCATTCAGACTGCAGTACAGAAATGGCACTAAGTCCGAAAATCTAAAGAAAGAGAAGGAGACTGGGGGGAAGAAGAGGAAAAATGTGTTGCTATTTGTGGAGAAGGAGAGCGTGGGGAAACAGGGTATGCAGATAAGGAGGCAGCTCCCCTCACACGGGCGACATATCTGCTCTGAAAAGCAGCAGACACAAGAGAGCTAGGGGCAAGAAATGCATTGAAGAAAATTAACTGAGCTTTCTATCTCAAATGTTACAAGTCATTAGGAAAAGCAGAACTTTCTCCGAGCTAGAAGCCTGAGCCAGGTCAGATTTCAGAAGAATTGTTTCATTTCCTTAACTTTACTAAAATTAAATCGTAGTATTAATTGCATTTGGTTCACAGGAGATGGGCACGTTGCAGAGCATGTTGTTTAGCTTCTCCAGCATGAGAATGGACCCTCGGAGAGTGGAAATGGGCAAGTCTACAAACACTGGAGCTTGGCTTGGATTCAGTGTCTGGCTCTGCCTCTCTCCATGAATTTAAGTCCATAAGTGAAGAAAAGCCAAGCCAATGCGAATAATCTGGCATCCCTTCTTGGCACTAACAAGCATCCTTATATATCAATTCATGTTCTTTTCCTTTTGTACGTATATAGATGGCTCTAACAGCTTGGCTTGTAGAGCCAAGGTGGAGTCTTGCCTTGGCTCGTTCTCTCAACTTTCTGGCTTGCTTTGGCCTGTTGTAATGCTCTCGTTGCCAGGCCTGTAAAATAAGTAGGACTGGCACCACTTTTCCTCTTGGAAACAACTTCTCCAAAGCCCAATTTTATGGCAACAGGATAAAAATTATGTAAGGGAAGAACGGGGGAAAATACCTCAAGGAAATTCAGGGAAAGTATTTGCTACCCTCTTCAGGAAGGCATTTGCTTGGCTGTCCTGTGAATGCAAACGTTGAAACCCTTGTGTGCATGTGGAGGTGAATCGTGGAGCATTGTCTCAGGATGCCAGTGCTGACAGGCAGCTAGTGTTTCAGGGAGAATTTAAGAACTGACCTCTCATCACTGATCTCTGGCAGCTCGTATCTGTTGTCATTAGGCCGTATTCTTCAGCCTGCGCTCTAATTTTGAGTGATGTACTCAGCTACACGGTCGCTGGACTCAGGGGAATTTGCCAAAGGAAGAGAAAATATTTGGCACGTGTTGAAAAGTGTTGGTATCCCATTTGATGGAGGAGTCCAGAGCAAGACCGTGCCATCTTCCTGATCTTTTATAGCTGCAATGCCCAGATGTTTTCTAGGTGTAGGATATACTAAAATATCTCACTCTCTCAACAGATTTATTACTGGGAGAGCGACGTCCAAAATGACACGGAGAAAGTGAAGGTCCTTTTCCTCCCAGAGACAACAGTCCGGCTTAAAAACCTGACCAGTCACACGCGGTACATGGTCTGCATCTCCGCTTTCAACGCAGCTGGGGACGGCCCCAGGAGCAGCCCCTCGCAGGGCAGGACGCACCAGGCGGGTACGGGATCGTTGTCTTGTCTCAAAGCACAGACTTGGTGATGACCAACCAGCACGTCACTGGACAGTGGCTAGGGGAAATGGGTGGGTGCACGGGGCACTGGTGTTTCGATTTAGCTTTCGAATGGGTTGTTACATGGTAATGGTCTCAGAGGGGGAAAAAAGGGATCAAATAAGTGGTCTGTGTGGGAAAGGGAGAGATACAGCAGAAGAGAATGGAGTGGCAGAAGGACCGATCCCTTCGCAAGGTGGTCCAGAAGGAAACTGTCTGTGGGTCTGTTTCTTGCCTCCGCTATCACACCTGAAAATTTAAAGGAACTTGTCTCCAGTGCCTGCAAATTCCCCAGACGGTCCTATGAGGGAGTTACTGTGCTTTTTATAATTCCTTCTAAACAGACTGAGCTGTCTTTGTGCTGGACATGACCGTGGTGGGAGCACTCCAGCACAGGGGGAAGGCAATGCCCTTGTTGGTGGCTATGAAGAGGAGGTGTGCACTCGGGCTGTGTGCTCACATAGTGCCCTTCTGAGGGTCTTTTCCTTCTGTGTCCAATCTCCTTCCTTGCTTTTGAGGTTCAGCTTTGCAGCTGAGTGGCTGTTTTTCTTAGGACAGGCTAGATTTCCGATAGATACAGGACATCTGGATCCAATTGACAAATCTCATTCTCAGCTTGTTTCCTTTACATTTAGGCTGGGCAAATAAACCGATGTTTTATAATATGTTTGTATATCAGATTGACTACTCCTACTGCAATTCAATCTGTTTGTAATCTTTTCAGCACCCAGTGCTCCCAGCTTCTTGGTGTTCTCTGAAATCACTTGCACTACACTCAATGTGTCTTGGGGTGAACCGACAGCAGCAAATGGAATCCTGCAGGGTTACCGAGTAGTCTATGAGCCTTTGGCTCCCGTCCAGGGTAAGAAAGACCTCTAATCATACATATTCATGGGGAAATGACAGAAAAGCACTGTAGTATCTTTTATCTCTGCCCAATTTCCTACTTGCTCTCCGCTGTTTTCCAAGAGAAGCCAGGTGGCAGAGGGTAAGTAAAACAATTCCGCTTTTGCCAAAACTGTTCAGCAAACTGTAATATTGTGGAATATAGCTTTTGTCTGTCCTCTCTCATTTTCTTGCACAAACTATATTCTGTGTGATTTGAAAAGTCATTTTACGGCCATCGTTACCCGGTATGGGTGAAGAGGAAACTCAGCCTGAGAGTGCCTGATTGTCTCCCCGCGTTGCGCTTTGAAATTGCTGAGTAGGCTCCATCCCAGAATAGTCGTCAGACACGTTTGTGTTGCTTATCACATTATGTGTCACTTCTGTTATCGCAAAGATTGCCCAGGCATCAAACGTGCTAGTCATCACTGGTGCCACTGCTGCTTTTGACAGGGGAGAATAACTGTGATGGAGATTTAGTTGTGTCTGTTTACACGGAGTTTTCAAGGAGCATTTTTAACCCAGTGCTAGATTTAAGCTAGACCACAACAATGTGGTGGCCACAAATGTTTCATTAATTTGCCAGAACAGCAACAGAGAAGGATTTGGCAATTTATCTGAAAACAAATGTAAATCCATTTCAAAGGTGAATTAGAAAAGATTACAAAGTTTGTGGATTGTCTTATTAATATTTTTATATTCCTGGCAGATCGCCAATAGTTCAATAGGATGTCCAACTTTGGCAGTGTGACAGCAGGAAGAGTAATTTCAGCCATTGCCAATCCATTTTAAACTCTTTTCCACAGAAATAAGGATATCAATCACTTGTATTTGCTTCTTCTGTACGGAATAAAGATCTATATTGTCTGAACATCCGTGTCTCATGCATTGAGAAAGTTATATTCAGGAAATAAAACACAAGAATAGAAGCACTTTCAGCCTTTACAGGTGGCAGGTCTGAGCACAAAGACCTAATGCAGAAAGCACTTCTAATTCTGACCAAGAAATGTTTGCAGGGTATGAAGGAGGTTTGGGTTGTGTGGGCATTTCCTGCCTTTTATTCATTCCTGCACAAGGTTTAAGAATACATTTTTTCCCCTGAAAATATGGAAATGTCAAATCATGTTTTCTCTGCATGCGTTTGACTTCACATCCTCAGAATCTTTGTTTTCTTCTCTTCCCCACCTCTGCCTGTGTTATCTGTGGCTCCAGTTTATCTCTCCTTCCCCTGTAGAAGATCTCTGATGTGAGCAAGGAGGTTATGGAGGGCTTTTCCTCTGATTCTAAATTTTTGCCTAAATTTATTTGCCAGTTTCTACCCATATGCTCTTGTGCCAACATTTCTTTTTTTCAGCAAACATACTTATTTTCCCGCTGTGGTAAGTAATCCCTCCCTCAATGCCATCATTTTCCTTTGATAGAAAAGCCGTTCTCCTTTATTTAGAGAGCCAGGTAAAGCCAAACTCATTTGAAGATGGAGCATGTACTGGTGCTGAATGCAGGCAGCAAGGCTTGTGGGGCTGGCAGCTGCCAGACCCCACCATCCTGGAGGGTCCTTCCAGCCCCAGGTCTCGTGTTCATAGATTTCATAGATTTCATAGATTTCTAGGTTGGAAAAGTTCCTCCATGCCAGAACTACAATGCAACAATATGATGGACCAGACCCCCTCGATCTTTTTTCCTGCATCTTTTGACTTCTTGCCCGTTTGTGATTTCCAACTGAGCACCTTCGCCATTGTGACATCTCCTGCCTTCCCACTCACAAGCCATCACTTAAAACCTGTGTATTTTGCAAAACTTTCCAACAGCGATCTGTTCTTTAGCGAAGTCTTCTCCCTGTTTGACCTTTTATTGTTTAAGCTTTACAGTGTTATGTTTTACACAATCATAGACAACAAAATTGCCCTGGAGCCTTTTTTAACAGTTTCTTTTTTTCCAGAACATAACTTCAAAATGACA